CTCAGAACTTCCATTCTTCCGATCAGAGGCTTTCCTGCCGGATGTCGTTCATCGTCATACCAAGGACGAGGCAATCAGGTATAAACTGTGTGTATTTCGAAATCTAATGGCTATAAAATGGGTGATCAGTTTTACATTGCCATTAAGTAATATTTTGATTCTGAAAAATTGGTTAAGTGATTAATTTAAATTAATTTTTGAAAAGGTTTTATAAATCTTTTGCTTTGAAGCCGTTGAAAATGAGGTGGGGATTTATCTTAAATGCAATACAGAAAAGCTGGGAGAAATTATAAATAAATTTCAACAAGAAAGTTATAAAGAAAAGATACCGAATAAATATTAATATCTTTTCATTTTTTTTTACAAAAGTTGCACAATTCCATTCTTCCTTTACATCTCGAAAAACGCCAGCTTAGACGGTTTATTATTTAAGCATGCAATCATACATATTTCTTTATCTTTGTTTTTGATCTGATGAAGCCTAGAAAGGCGAAACGCGTAATCTAGTTTCAATGAAACGTTTTACAATTTGTCCTATTCTTCAAACATTGTCTGCATTCTGTATGCTATTTTATATTCATAAATGCATGTTTACATGTATTTATAAGCAACAATACATATAAACCGAAATCCGAAGCACTGTAATAATCAATATTTCCAATCTCCCGATCTTGCTGCCAGATGTTGTTCATCGCCATACCAAGGATGAGGCAATCAGGCATAAAACTATGTATTTCGAAATCTAATGGCTATAAAATGGGTGATCAGTTTCACATTGTCATTAATTAAAAAAATGATCCCTCACTCCAGAATAATCTTATTTTGATAGTTCTCTTGTTTCGAGGTTATTCAGAAAATAATCTACGTTTAGTTGTTATATATTTTAACCTACCTTTTATGTAAAAAGCTAGCTGCGATTGATAAATTGTCGTCTAAATGACGCAAAATATGAAATTAACACTGATATTTCATTTTAACAAATAATGCATTATTTTTTTTTTCATAGCATTTTGATCGATGTTCGGGGGAGTTGCCTATTTGCCCATCGTTGAGACCCTAACAGATACCACTACACCGTGACTGGATGGACCTTCAATTACAGTGTAACCCGGATATAAGAGAGTTGTCGGGACCGGAGAAGAAGTCTCTTATATCCGGGTTTCTCTTATATCCGGGTTTGGTCTATTTTATATACATTAACACAGGCTCTAATTTGGGACCAGAGAAAATCTCTCTTATATTCGGGTTTCTCTTATATCCAGGTTTGGTCTATTTTGTATACATTAACACAGGCTCTTATTTGGGACCAGAGAAAATCTCTTTTATATCCGGTTTTCTCTTATATCCGGGTCTCTTATATCCGGGTTACACTGTAATAGGTGGTTCCACGCTGCTCAAAACTTCCATTCTTCCGATCAGAGGCCTTGCTGCCGGATGTCGTTCATCGTCGTCCCCAGGACGAGGAAATCATGTATAAACTAGTGTGTAGTGTTTCGATTTATAGTAAACATAAAATGGGTGATCAGTTTTACATTGTCATTAAGTAATAAAATGATCCCTCATTCCGGAATAATCATATTTTGATAGTTCCATCGGTCCTTAATTATTAGGTTATTCAGAAAATAATCTTGGTTTTGTCGTTGTATACTTTTTTATGTAAAAGCGGGTACAAAAAAAAAAAGATATACTCTTTTAAAGTGACAGATTTTAAAAAATATATAAATCTTTTTATTTCGACCGATTCTGAAAAATTGGATAAGAGATTACCTTAAATTCATTTCAGAAAAAAAGCTATTTAAATCTTTTGCTTTCGATCCGTTAATTTATCTTAAATCCAATGCAGATATGCTGGGTTAATGGCTAAATAAATTTCAAGAACGAGAAAAACTCAATAAATAATTTCTTTTTTCAAAAACCTCACAATTCCATTCTTTTCTTTCATCCCGTGATACGCCAGTCTTGCAGAAAATGTATTAACGACGTATTATTTAAGCATATACCCAAATAAACACGAATATGCCGTATTTTCCGGCATACAAGACGCACTTTTTTTCTAAAAAAATACCCCAAAAAATATATGTGCATCTTCCAAGACGAATGTAAAACAATGACCAGGGTCAAGTAAGCTTGGACGGTCACCTAATTGTCTTGGTTGATATAGACGTGGATTTGTATGCTGAGTCATTACACTATAATGTTAGCAATCTATCTAATTCAGCCTTTTATGTGATGTAACCTCACTAACTTAAAGTATTTCCTAGACTATAAACCTTCCTGGAGCGATATACTTAAATATGCTCTGTTCACTAGCAGCAGCAGAAGACTTTCTGCTCTTGAAGAAAGTTTTTTTATCGCCTGAGTCCATCCTTCAAATCTACAAATCAACCATTCGTCCTTGCATGGAATACTGCTGCCATATATGGTCTGGTTCTCCCGCTGTTCATCTCGAGGCTCTCGACAAAATCCAGAGACGGATATGCAACGTGATTGGTCCTGTTCCAGCATCCCGTTTGCAGTTGCAATCTCCCAGACGTGCCGTGGCTTCCCTCTGTCTTTTCTACAAATGTTTTCATAACAACTGCTCCGACGAGCTACTTTTTATTGGTTCCCAAACTGTATGAATTTAAGCGTGCTATTTAGGTTGGCATTTCGGTCAAAACGACTAAATGTAGCCATCTCTTCTACTCCAACAGCTTCTTATCTCGCACTTCTCGCCAGTGGAACCCCCCTTCCTATCACTTGATTCCCTGATAGCTATGATAGCTATGATCTTCAAATATTCAAATGTAATGTCAATCGACATCTTCCGATGCCTTGACCTTGATCCCTGTTCTTCTCTTTATCCTTTTCCCAAACACTCCTCTTTACGCTTACTCTTGTTCTCTGTAACCCCTAATGGCTGAACCGCCTTGCTTGGGGTGACATGCTTAAAAAATGTCATTGCCATGCAAACAAAATCGGACGAGTGATTAATGTAAACAATAAGTGGTGCCAGTATGTGAGGGACATATGGTGAATGTGTTGTTGTATGAGAATGACTTTTTTTTTCTTAGAAATTTCTTACTAATATTAGGGTGCGTCTTCCATGCCGATGCGCCTTGTAAGACGGAAAATACTATATTTCTTTCTTTCGATTTTGGATCCGATGAAGCCTAGAAAGGGAAAACGTATCATCAAATCTCGTTCCAATGAAACCGTTTTCTATTTTTTCATATTTCTTCAAACAGAGAATTTAATATCATTTTTGTCTAAATAAACTATTTTTTACCCACTGCTTTCATATATTTTTCAAACCTCTTAACAAAGATGTCAAGGAAATTAAAGGGTAACAAGTAGTCTGCACGAGATAACTCGTAATAGACACGAGATATCTCGTCGTCACCGCCGGATAACTCAAAGGCAGAGAGTTCAACCGATCAGCCAGTCGACTGACTGACCGACCCACTGAGCGACTGCTACTACTCCTACTTATTATAGGTGGGAGAGTCTATTAACTTATAGGTGTGTTCACTATAACAGTTTGATACCCGATATCTTTAACATGACCGCATAGAAAGAAGTCCCGTTTAGTAATATCTGGTGACTGAAGTGTCCGGGGAACTGGGCCATCTCTTCCAATCAACCGCTCTGGAAATTTTAGATGTTTATTTAAGAGTAACTCTTTCATCAACAGGACTGCTGAAATTCGCAAATGCAATGGGATTACAACCTTTGATAACTTTTGAGCATATAGAACAAATCTGCTTAAGATATGTCACTGTCTTTGTAAAATATTGTTTTAAATTATAAGGAGGCTTTATAGACACCCAGAATAAATCTGTTTGTATGTTCATGTTCGTTTACTGGCGCTGAGTACAGTTCTCTGTTAACAAACGAATGTTTTATTACAAAGGTGTCCGGATATAAACAGATAATGACAAGAAATGAAATTATATTTTATATTTTAGACTAAAAACAGGTGAACAAGACCTTGAGAAGGAAAACACTCCGTGTTTACACTATGTCTCTTTCTGTCTGTGTGTCTCTCTTTCTTCTCTTCTAAGCCTAACCTTTGTCGCAATATCACAGCATATAAAAGATAGCTTCATTCTTCTTTTACACGTTTTTTAAAAAAAAAATCTGAAGACATTGCAAATATGGTCAAACGGATTTCGCATGGAAATGTTTCGCTTACATAAAAAAAAGTGTTCCACAGGAAAGAAGTTTACAGCAAAACACACGACAACCTTTGACCTTATAAACTACGTGTTTGAGACTTCCTAGTAGAACATATTGCAAATTAGAACATATCCTTGTGATATGAAACAAAAGGTGATTTATATTACCCTTTTCAAACATTATTCTTTGAATGCTTTAGTACATTTCAGGAAAAAAAAAAAAAACTATAGCTGAAAATAACATTCTTTATAACTCATTTGATTGCATACTTTTCACTCACACACACACACACAGGCACGCGTACACACACACACACACACACACACACAAACATATATATATATATATATATATGCATGTTACTTTGCGGAAAGTGCTCAATATCTTTGCTAGAGCTAACATATTCAGTTGTATTGATATTAGATTGTAACCCTGGGTTTCACGCCTTTGCGATCATCAGACACACTGGTTTATTTTATTTGTGCGTGGGTTGTGTGTGTGTGTGTGTGTGTGTGTGTGTGTGTGTGTGTGTGTGTGTGTGTGATTAGAATAAGCATAAATTTAAAAAAAATGAACCTGTTTGTCTGATGATCACAAATGTGTAAGCCCAGGGTTACAAATATTCATACAACTGAATCTATCTATCTATCTATCTATCTATCTATCTATATATATATATATATATATATATATATATATATATATATATAGACAGATAGATAGATAGATATGTGTGTGTCTGTGTGTTTGATTAAAATAAACATAAATTTAAAAAAATAAACCAGTTTGTCTGATGACCACAAAAGTGTGAAACACAGGCTTACAGATATCCATTCAAATGAATGAATCTATCTATCTATCTATCTATCTATCTATCTATCTATCTATCTATCTATCTATCTATCTATCTATTTCTGTCTGTATCTATCTATCTATCTATCTATCTATATATATATATATATATATATATATACACACACACATATATATATATATGTATATATTTGTGTGTATGATTAAAATAAGCATAAATTTAAAAAAATAAACCTGATGACCGCAAAAGCGTGAAACATGGGGTTATAAATATCCATACAACTGAATATTTCTATCTCTCTCTCTTTCTTTCTCTCTCTCTCTCTCTCGCTCTATCTATCTATCTATCTATCTATCTATCTATCTATCTATCTATCTATCTATATATGTGTGTGTGTGTGTGTGTGTGTGTGTGTGTGTGTGTGCGTGTTATTGCGTATGTGATTAAAATGCAATTTTTTGTTATGCTATATTTATGGCGAAATGTGTTCAATATCAGATATATAGGCAAAGTGTTTTGGCCCAACTATTTATATATGCTGCATTATGTGTAACAAGGTCTATTGTTTTATCCTAACGGTTATAGGTAGGTTATAGCGATTAGGTTTTAAATTGGTCCATTGACTATTGAGTAGGAACAATTGTAAATACTAATTCGGTTATTGTAGCTATTTTGTAGTGTCGTTTGTCAGCGTTTCACACATACTTCATGAATTTAAATGCAGTACTAGATTGGCGGAAAGGTCTCATTATCTTACAATTGAAATGGCTAGATGTAACCGTAAATTCTATGCTAGCAGTTCCTTCTCTCGAACTTCTCGTTTGTGGAACTGTCTTTCAACTACTTGTCTTCAAATTTTTAAATGCAAGTCTCCCTAGGAAGAAAGAAGGATCTTCTGAATTGCTATGTTATATTCAAACTCCTGTATGTCAGGGGATACCAGATGATCTTTTCCAAGTGGAAGAAACTACTTGAAACGGTAGGGATATGTCTCTACTGAAGAATATTGAGAATAACATGGAAATAACATATGAACAATCAGGAAGTTTTAAGGAAATCGAAGTTGTAAGGTACGTACACTTACAATCAGAAAGAGACAATTAAATTCTTTAAGATATCATAAGGACAGAGAGTTTGGAGAATTTAAAACTCATAAGTCATACACCGTAATGTAGCTTCCTTATACCTTTTCTATCAATGCTTTCATTATTCTGATGAAATTTTCTTTCTGATACCTAGAGTTTACCAATTTAAATGCAGTACTAGATTGGCGGCCAGGTCTCAATATTTTACTGTTAAAATGGATACATATAACCGTAACTTCTATGCTAACAGTTTCTTCTCTCTCGCAGTATTACATCAACTGCGTTATAGATTGGCCGTAAGATATCATGATTTTACAGTTTGACTAGATGTAACCGTAAGTTCTATGTTACCAGTTTCTTCTCTCGCACTTCTTCCTTGTGGAAGTGGTTTCTGGTTTTGTGCATTGCAAGTCTACGTTGAATTTTAATAATTTAAACGCAGTAAAAGTCGTTATTTTTGACCGGAGTGTATAGCGGCCGAAACGTCGGAAATATGACAATAAGGATGAGGGTAACATTCCGGACAACGTAAATAATTACAATACCTCATCTCAGAAATATAGACACATACTGAATGTTCTGTGCGGACCCGATATACCAACTATATATACTATATCACCTGAAGAAGGTCGGAGCGTAGAGCGACGGAAATATGACAATAAAGATTTAAGATGATATTCGGAACAATGTAAATAATTACAACACCTCATCTCAGAAATATAGCCAGATATTGAATGTTCAGTACAGACCCGATATTCTAAAAATATATACAATATCATCTGAAGAAGGCCGAAGCGTACAGCGACCGAAACGCCGGAAATATGACAATAAAGATAAGGGTCGTATTCCGAATAATGTAAATAATTACAATATCTCATATCAGAGAGATACTGAAGGTTCGGCGCAGATCCGATATACCAAAACTATATACTATATCACCTGACGAAGGCCGAAGCGTACAGCGACTGAAACGTTGTGAATATGACAATAGAGATGAGGACAGCAGTCCGAACAATGTAATTAGTATTGAATGTTGTTGAATATCAGACAGAAATCACTGCCATTTGATTTACAAGAATTTTATCTTCAAGCCGGTGTCATTTTTTTCTCTCCCTCAGCAGCAAGTATCCTTCAAACCTCTTGGCAGTTCACGTGTTGTTTTTGGAAAAGGAGATTCTTCAGTTTTTGTTTGAAGACAATCTACATGTGTGGAGAATTCTCCTGAGACCTCAAGTGGATAGATATACTGAATCTCATTTAAAAAAAAAAAAAAAAAAAAAAAGAAAAGAAAAAAAATTTCAAAGAGAGAATTACTATTTCAAAATTTGGTGGACAGTTTCGTAATTGTTGTAAACAAGTTGATTTAATTTCAAATTCATTATGCGTGAATGGTCACAAGCAATTAGAATCGTTGTTTTTGAGATTTATGCATCGTGAAATATTTTGTTTATTGTATCGATACTGACAGCGATTATCTAGTTTCTTACAAGTTTAAATCTGGTTTTCTCAACCAGGGCGATATCAACCATCGGTGGGCGATTTCACCTGTTGGCTGGTGGATGAGCATCTGAACAGAAAATAGTGTTAGATTGGAAATTTCGGTGAGTAATATATGATTTTGAATATAAGGAAAGTATTCCAAAATATATTCCAAGGAGATATGTTAAAAATAGAAACAGGAGACTAACGTTCCCAGATTAGATATAAATGTCCCCGCAAACAGTAGGTAACTTGGTATTGAGACTTAAGATACGAGAACAACAGAAGAATAATCAGAAGGACAGTAGATAAGGACTGACATTGCATTTAAATCTTTGAAGATCAAAGTTGGTAAGCAAGAAGCCAGAAGAGAGTTCCATGAAGGCGAAACGTAGCAGCTTTCTGAATATACGCATCATGTAAATACAAGAAAATATTCCAAATAGATAGGCAAAGAACCTGTATTAAAAAACACACACAGGAGACTAAATTAGAATAACCATAAAACTAAATTTCATATATACATACATATATATATATATATATATATATATATATATATATATATATATGAAGAAAAATTTGGAAAAAACAAACAAAAATCCTTAAATGCAATTATGTTGTTTAAAATGAATGAAATGTCGACGTCTGACGTTTCGGTTTAATAAACCTTCTTCAGGACAATATTCATTAAAATACAATTCAGTTCAATTTGACAAAGACGATGGACATAAAAACAAGAATTGTATTTTAAACGTCGACATTTCATTCATTTTAAACAACATAATTGCATTTAAGGATTTTTGTTTGTTTTTTCCAAATTTTTCTTCATTCTGTCGGATCTATATCCATTTACATTTGCTTACACACATATATATATATAGGAAGAAATATAGTCTTAAGATGTGCTATATTTATGGGATAAAGTGTTCAATATCAGAGATAGAGCGTGTGTAAATATAAAAGTGAACATAGAAGTCAACACTTAGAGGCGACAGTCTGTTTCATGCTAGGTGCAATCGTCAGGCCACGAGTGATGCTATTTTTCTCGCCTATTTATATATACGAGTCAGTGGTGCATTGTGGGTAGTCTATTTTGGCGGTTATTTTACCGGAAGTCGTTTATTTGTTTATTTATTTGGGTTAAATTATTTCGCTTGTTTTTATTTATTTTTATTTTTATTTCTTATCTTATATATATATATTAATTTATTTGATTTTTTTTTTTTAATCGGTGTTTTTATCAACGTCGTAAAAATTTGTTTATATCGCTTATTTAATAGTTTTGTTTTGGTTTTGGAAGATAAAGCTATTTAGTCAATTTTGGAGTTGATTGTTGTAGTTTATTCTAACTATTATTTTGTCGGGAACAGTTTTTAATTTGTTTATTACTTCATGTATTTATTTGGATTGATTATCTTTATTTGTTTTTACTAACGGTTAGTTTATCGGGATCACTTTGTTAGTTTATTCATTTATTTGGATGAATTTAGGTCAATTTATTTTACTTATTATTTTAGGACGAAAAAAAAAAAGAGCTATAACTGTTATATAACGATAAAAAATACTACGTCATTTAAAAATCGAAAACCGAAAAGAGAAAATATAGAGTATAACAAATCCATAATAACAAGTAATAATAACGATTGCATCTAGCATGAAACAGACTGTCGCTTCTAAGTGTTGACTTCTATGTTCATTACTGTTTTTCTTAGCAGTACATTTTTACAAATAATTCAATGCTTTTTTCCTAGAAAGCCATTCAGTACTTTTTTTCTAAGAAAGCAGTTCAGTACTCTTTTTATAGAAAGCAGTTCGGTACTTTCTGCTAGAAACCAGTCAAGTACATTTTTCTTAGAAAACAATTGAGTACTTGTTCTAGAAATCAGTCCAGTACTTTTTCCTAAAATGCAGTTCATTCCTTTTTCTCAGAAATCAGTTCCATACTGTTATCTTAGCAAGTAGTTTAGCCCTTTTTTTCTCATTTCTCTTTTTCAGTTCGTTTTTCTCAGAAATCTGTGCAGTTCTTTTGTTTTTTCTTAGAAATCAATTCAGCACATTTTTTTTCTTATAATTCCGTTCAGTTCATTTTTTTCTCTCGGAAATAAGTTCAGTATTTTTTCTTAGAAATCAGTTCAGTTTTTGTTCTAGAAATCAGTTCAGTACTTTTCCTAAAATGTAGTTAATTACTTTTTCTCAGAAATCAGTTCCATACTTTTATCTTAGAAAGCAGTTCAGTTTTTGTTCTAGAAATCAGTTCAGTACTTTTCCTAAAATGTAGTTAATTACTTTTTCTCAGAAATCAGTTCCATACTTTTATCTTAGAAAGCAGTTCAGTTTTTGTTCTAGAAATCAGTTCAGTACTTTTCCTAAAATGTAGTTAATTACTTTTTCTCAGAAATCAGTTCCATACTTTTATCTTAGAAAGCAGTTCAGTATTTATTTTTCCTAGAAAGTAGCTCAGCCCCTTTTTTTCCCAGGAAACATTTCAGTTCGTTTTTCTTCGAAATCTGTTCAGTCCTTTTTTTCTTAGGAAACAATTGAGCACTTTTTTTTTAATATAATTCCCTTCAGTACATTATTTTCTTGGAAATAAATTCAGTATTTTCTCTTAGAAAGCGGTTCAACACTTTTTTCTTAGAAAGTAAAACAAACAAAATAATGCTGAACTGCTATGTAGTATCTAATATTTTTCCTATAGAAGAGAATATTGAAGAAGGTTTCCTCGCGGATCAGGAAGCGAAATGAACAGACTAAGATGTGGCTTTTCTGACGAATGTCTAAAATATCATCGAACAAAAATGAGTACGACGAGGAAACCTG